TTTGCAGCAATCAATTCATCCATTTCTTTGATCTACTCGTTGAGTCTCCTAATCTCTTTATCTTTTTTTTTTATCATATTCTCCAGTAAACACGGCTTTTTCTACAGTCAGTTTCGAGATATCTATCTCTAATCTAGCAATCTGCTTTTGAGATTCTTTGTAATACTTTCTGAGTTTATCAGAAAGGTATTGGAGTTTTTCATCATTCTTGTAAACAGATTCAGTAGTTTGGTCTATTTTTCCATCCATTTTTTTTAAAAGTTTGTTTTGGGCTAGAAAATTCTTAATTTTCCAGTTGAAAACTTCTTGAGCCTGAGATGGAGCTTTCAGAACTCCATCAGATTGAACTTCAGAGGGTATCACTAATGGCCTGGTATTGACCTTAGTGACAGGATCAACTTTCCTTTCAAGTGAAGGAAATTCTTCCTCATATCTTGAAAACATCATGCAAGGAATGAGACCTTGGACTTTTTATGAAGAAGAGATGAAAGAATTGCAAAGTCCTGGAGGAGAAGGCCAAGTGATCAAATCAGGATCACTAGGAGGCTTGGATAAAAGTCCTTCTTTTTTCAAGATTTCAAGGGCTTCCTCATAAATTGGAAGAGGCTTTCTTTTTCTCCTTATTCCTACCCATGGAGTAAATCTAGGGTCTCTCCTTCTGGGTTAAGGAGGTGGTTTGCAAAGTTTTTTTTTCTTTTTCTTTGAATTGTTTTCATCATCATCTTATTCTTCATCAGATGTATCACCAGTATGTATCCAACAATCACAGTCAGGATCACACATAGAAAGATTAACATCCCACATGAAATGACCATCAAATTTATCTGAAAAGATAGGAGATCCATCAGATCTGAAACTATATATTGGAATTCTGTCTTCTCCCTCAACTGGAATAACCATCATTGATTGAAAACAATTGGAGGACTTGCTAGGTTCATCTTCTGACTTTTTAAATATAGTCTGAACACCACCATCTATAGATCTTCAGAAAGTGGCTTCAAAGGACTGAATTGGTTTATTGTTTTTCCTGATCTTCTCATAATTGGTTGTCCACTCAAGAGGAATTAGCTTGAGAAGTTCTTCTCTAGGAATTTGTTTGGGAACTTGGATGATAGAAGGAACTTCATCCTCATTTCTGTTGGCAATAACAAAAAGATTGTTATTAACCATTTTTGGAAGAGAAAGATCATAAGCATGATTCTGTAGCCTGTAAATCATTTGATGATGAAGAGTTGCAGATAAAGCTTCTTCAATCTGCTCAACTCCAGTAAGTTGAATTTGAACCTTCAACCTAGTTGGGAGAGTCTTGTCTCTCAAAGAGACATTATAGTTTGGGAAAATAGTGAGAACCACACTTCCAGCATGAATGGTGGTTAGCAAAGTGGCTATGACAACATGCTCATAGTGGATATAAGTGGTATCAAGAAAAGAAATTCTGGCAGTAACTGGAAGATTTTTCCTACCATGTAGAGATAGGACTAATCTAATTGCTCTAAAGTGTAGAGTAGTATATCCTTCAGTGTTCCAGTGATCTATAAATGTCTTAGGGATCTGAAGATCAATATATTGCTCTTTTGAAGTGGCAGGTAATTCACATTGATCCATTCTGATAGATTGGACATACTCTTTAATGGGAGATTGTTTTCTGAGGATCAATAAATTGATCCTGTTGGTCAGAGACTTTTTTCTTCTGAAGACATTGTATGGACTTAACAAAGGAGCTATAGATTCTTGAACTTGTGCATCTTCAGGAACATATGTATATTCTATCAAATTTTCTAATTTGTTAGCAGCAGTTCTGACACAAGTTTTTGGTAATGAGATTGGTGAGTTTAAGAGAATAGGAGAAATTTAACTAGAAGAGGATTTGGTATTTTTTTGTGGTTGTATTCATAATTGTAAAGGTCTTACTCACTTTGGTTATGATGACTATCACATTTATCCCCCTTTTCAACATAGACTTTAGGCTCTGAGTTAAATCAAAAGTTTGTGGCATTGTTACAGACAGGAGTGATTGTTGATATAGTCTCTCCGGTAAGTGTTTGTCAGCTTTTCAACCTATAAACCCTGAGAAACTCATAATCAGATAACCGTTAGGCTCTAATACCATTACTAGCCAGGAACCTTCAATATAATAACAGAGACAATAGAAATATTATATATATGTATATGAAATGTGACAAAAAAAAAAGATAAAAAATATCAATAGATTTAATTTTTAATAGAAAAGACTTGTTTGAAACATTTTTAAAAATTAAAAGAATAATTTTAGTTATTTTATATACATAATCTTTTTACAAATAAACAATAGTCAATTTTTAAAAATAAGGCACACCAACTTTTCACAAATAACTACTTTCAATTTAAATATGATCAAACAAATCATTTTTAAAAATTTTCAAGATTCTCTAAAGAATCTGACACTAATTTTTTTCTCCGTTTCTTTCATTCTATATTCGCTTCATCATTCTCCCATTTGACTTATGACACCGAAGACTGACACCATCCTTGCTTTGCTACAAAGAAACACTGCCAAGGTCAATTAATTTCATATTTTATTCAAAAGGTGAATGATTTTCTTGGTATATATATATATATATATATTCGAAAGATGAAGCTAACAATTTAATCTTTTAATTATTATCATTTTTTGTTTTTTTTAAGAATGACGAAATCTTTTAAAGAGGAAAGTATTTTACCTGTACAGGAAGATTTCTGTGTATCAATTGAGCTAAGAATGACGAAATCTTGTCCATTTTATATTATATACAGAACTTGAACACATGAATTGCATCAGAATAAAAGGTGATGAAATCATAAAGTACCCTTTTCGTATTAGTCTGGGTTGCTTTTGCTTTCAAGTTGATCACAAAAAGAGAAAGATTCTTCACTGCTTTCCCATCAGAAATGAGATCCAGAAAGCTCTCTCCACAGATATTGCTTTCAATATTCTAGGTACATCTAATTGAAATTTTTAATTTTACAAAATTTCCGTTTTAATTATTAACTTATTTTATTTTTAAAAGATATTTTTTAGCCTTTATATTCTATTTATTTATATAAATCAAATCCTTTCAAAAATGCTTTACGGTGGATTGAGAGCGACAAAGCATATTCCAACGTTACAACGCCCTCCTTAATGATAACTAAACGACATAGAAAACATTATAAGTGCTGTGAGTATATATTTATCTTTTAGCTTTCTGCAAAGATAAGGTTTTATTCTTTTCCATTGTCCTCAGACAGTGACATTATTAGCTTTTTGCAGTTTACGTTTATGCAATATTATATGAATTCCATTCTTCGTTTCACATCAAAATGGAAAACAAAAAAATATATGTTTGTTATATTTATATTGATGAAAAAATATTTTAGTTTGTTAAAAAAAAAGGAATAATTTGATTACCAGTTAATACTATCATTGTTCTTTAAGAAATATTACACTTGAATAATATTTATATCACTGTTTATATTTTATTTTATTTATCTTTCCTTGTCACGTCACTGATCATTGAACACTTCAATGATAAAATAAGGAACAGCACCTTGGAAACCATTAATACCAACATTCTTTTTTATTAATTAATTAGTCATACTGAACCTTCAGAGTGAGTATATTCAATATTATCTGTCTTTCTCATTCGAATTGTTCCTACATCTTCCATTATCTTCTTTGTTTTTATGTCATTTTTTAAAATTGTCATTCAACTTTGTTTAACACGAAAGAACAATTACTATAATCACTGAAACGGGTTTGGATCCTTTAGTATACAGTATATGTCATTTTCAATTAGATTCAATCTTTATATTGAGGATTACTTTTTTAGCGCTTAAACATGTTTGAGAGATTAGTTTCTCAATACTCTAAAAAAATAAAAACAATATAATTTCAATTATTTATAAGTTGAATTATTTTAACTATTTTTTGAACTAATTAAGTCTCTATTTTTAATTATTTTTGGTCATTTTTTTTTTATTTAAAACTCTTAAATTCTCATATTTTTCTTTTATCCAAATTTGTATAAGTTAAATTAATCAAACATTTTTTCTCAAAAATAATTGATTAAAATATCAAATTTTACTGAAACATATCTTAGAAAATTTCCTTTTTCAAATCTTAATATCACATTTTATAAAATCCATCAAATCTTATCAATTTTTCAGTAGATTTCTTCTTTTTCAACTTTTACAATTATTCCATATTCTAATTTTATGAAAACCCCCTCAAATTGAGGGCCTCAAGAAGAAACAAAACAAAAGAGGGATCAATTTACACAATTTTGAAAATAAAGAAATCTGATTAGTTTGAAATATGCTTAGACACTAAATCGCATACAGTCTATGTTTGAAAGACAAAAAACAACGTAATCAAGCCTACAATAAATACATTTGCTAGATGCATGTGGTATGATTTGCAAACAAAAAAATGATAATAAATAAATAAGCCCACCATTGTCTTGGTGTTTCTAGTGACAACACCTAAGAGCACAAACACTTCTAAATGATAGTTGTATTGTAATCACGTTGGATATGTATTGTTTAGGGTACTGCATGACACTTTAAATGCCTTTGGATGTATTTATAAAAAAAAAATACTTTGATTTTGTAAACTTTTATATCATTACTGATTGATATACTACGAATAATTAGAGAAATCATAGCATTTTTTGTGTTTATGATGACTCATGCTCACCATAAAAGTCCTTTTCTTCCCTCTAAAATAAGGATACATGTTAACATCTTCTCAAGAATAATTACAATGGCGATCTTTTAGTCAAAATAAAAGTATAGAGAAAGATGGGAAGAATTAATAACAATAAAATGTAGCAGGCATGCAGGTTCATGCATAGTTGTCCTCGTGTGTCCTTACCGAAGAAAGCGACTATATATGTCTAGGACAAAAAGATATTGGTGTCCCCCTTCTTACTTTAAGTGGGGGATTGGATGCTATTTTTATTTCTTTTACTAATACTTTTTCTTAATCAATATTTCAATAAGGTCTTGAATTAATGTCCAGTGATTTTGTTATTTATATGAATGAGACTATGACCTATTGCAATATGTGAATTATTTTGGTGTCAAAATAGCATTGGCAGCTCCATAGTTGTAGAGGAAATGGGAGACGAGATAAAGGAGAAGCTTTTACATAAGCAAAACAATTCTTTAGAGGGTGTTGAAGAGGAAGAGTCTTTGAGGAAAAGGGTATGGGAAGAAAGCAAGAAGATGTGGGCGGTGGCAGGCTCTGCCATATTCACAAGGTTTTCAACTTTTGGAATCACTGTAGTTAGCCAATCCTTCATTGGCCATATTGGCTCCACTGAACTAGCAGCCTATGCACTTGTTATGACTGTCCTTGTCAGGTTTGCAAATGGTGTATTGGTAAGCGTTCTCTTTCCTTCACCTAATTCTGTGTATCTAGTTTTTCTCCTCTCAAATTCAATCCACACAAAATTCATTAGATACTTTTGATATGATCTTTTAATTGAAATTAGAATTAGAATTTTATCTTAGTGATTTGCATCAATCTTAAATGACAATTTTTGTTATGTATGCTACCGAAATAAAATTGTAATTGAAAAACAGTACTAAAAATGTACATGAAAAGTTGCCAATAAATTCTGTCTAATCTAAAATTCACATAGTTCAAATGTTCTCAAATGAAAATTGTAGATTGGAATGGCAAGTGCACTGGAAACTCTTTGTGGGCAAGCATATGGGGCAAAAAAGTATGAAATGCTTGGAGTGTATCTTCAAAGATCCTGGATAGTCTTGTTCTTGACCTCTATGTTTCTTCTTCCTATTTACATTTTTACAACTCCATTGTTAGAGGCTCTAGGCCAAGAAAAAAGAATTGCTCAAGTTGCTGGAAGCATTTCTCTTTGGTCAATAGGTGTGGTATTTGCTTTCTCTGTGTCATTCACTTGCCAAATGTTCCTACAAGCACAAAGCAAGAACAAGATTATTGCCTACCTAGCAGGAGTTTCAATTTCATCTCATATTTTTATGTCGTGGCTTCTAACTGTTAAGTATGAGTTTGGGCTCAATGGTGCTATGACCTCAACACTTATGGCACATTGGATTCCAAACTTGGGCCAACTTGTGTATATCATGAATAAGTGCCCTGACACATGGAAGGGCTTCTCATATTTGGCCTTCAAAGATCTCTGGCCTGTTGTCAAGCTTTCGGTGTCTTCTGGAGTTATGTTATGGTAAGAATTTAAGCATTTTACATCATAAATTTTTGGGATTATTTATAAATTGTATTGGAACAGGACATATTTCCAAAACATGGATCTCATCTTCTGGCCCAATGTCATAATATCTGCTCACTAGTAAAACTGTAAAATAAACAATATGGTATCCATTAGTAATTAAGTGCATGTTTGATTTGGATAAATTTTAGGAAAATAATTGTTTATTTTCAAAAAATTCTTACAAAAAATTGAAAAAATGTATTTTCAAATAAATGAATCTAAGCATGCACTAAACATTTTGGTTTAAACTGTCAAGACCTAGGAAAATAGGGGATCATTTAGTCCAAGAAAATGTTTTCTATTTATATTTTTGTGAGTATCAAAATATCACTTCATTTCTATTTTTTGATTACTTACAAAAATCAATTTTAAAACAGTAAAGTTATTTTTTATTATTTATAGTGTTTCTTAAATAAATTTTTAAAAATCTATTTTAAAATTAGAAAAGTAAACATTTTCTTAAACTAAACTGTCCAAGGTCTGGTTACTGTATTTCCAAAGTGGTGTCTAAGGTACATCATTACTCAATTTTAGTGAAATTCATGAAAGCGTCCCATATGACAATAATTCTGTGCTGCATAGAAAACAAGAAAGACCCCATAAGTTTGAAAATACGAAAAATTCTGTGAACCTAAATTTTGATGCATTATAATAAGAAACCAAACATGGCAGTGATAATAATAGAGATATGTAGGACTAACAAAAAGCAATGGTTCTTTTACAGTCTTGAGATCTGGTACAACACAGTTTTGATTCTCCTAACAGGAAACATGAAAAACGCGGAGGTTTCTATTGATGCTCTTGCCATATGGTAAATATGTCTCGTACCTTTCTTTTGGACCAGTACCATACCTCATTCTTGCTTTTGCTTCTAAAATGTCTTTAGTATTAACATAGTTATAAAAGAGAAAAAGTTTATGTTCAACAAACAAGGCTTAAATAAAAATGATGATAGATATTTAGAAGTTACAATAGAAACGTCCCTTTCATGTTAAGATTTAAGGGATATATGGTCCCCTTATCTGTTGACAATATTGAAGTTGAACTGTTAACATAATAAAGCATAGTATCATTGTATGATTTTTGCAGCCTTAACATTAGTGGGTGGGAAATGATGATAGCCCTAGGCTTCTTTGCTGCAGCAAGGTACTTGATTTTTTCATAATCTCATTTTTGTTTAAAATATGTTAGAATGATTGGGTGGATATTGAGTATAATTGCAGTGTCCGGGTTGCAAATGAGCTTGGAAGAGGGAGCGCAAAGGGTGCAAAATTTTCAATTGTAATAACAGTTCTGACATCATTGAGCATTGGGTTGGTGCTGTTCTTGGTGTTCTTGTTGCTGAGGGAAAAACTTGCTTACATTTTCACTCCACACCCTCTGGTGGCTCAAGCAGTTGCTGATTTATCACCTTTGCTCTCATTTTCCATCTTGTTGAACAGTGTCCAACCTGTCCTCTCCGGTATTCTATTCTTTTTTTATTATAAAGGGTGCTCATAATTTAGTTCCAATCCATTTTTTTAGATAAAAAGTAATCATATTATCAATTGAAAAGAGTTTAGATTATATTAGATAATTTGGTTTGTACATTTTCAAGGTTTAGATTAGATTAGTTCAATTTATTTATATTTTATAGAAAACGTAATTTATATATTAAAAACTATGAGACACGAGAATAACTTTAAACTAAATTAAAACTAATAAATTTATCAACACATTAAAAATCATAAAATGTATCTTTTAGAACATAAAAATAAGATATAATTTTCAGAGTAAAATCATGAAAAAAATATTTTTATATATTACCATTTTATAAATATATAAATACAAGTAAAAAGTAACTTTTCTATATGAAGTTACATTTACATACATATAAGTTTGATTTTAAATTAAATGGAATCATTTTTCTAAAATAAACCCAATTTTTTATGGACTTAATTTTGTTTTATTTCCAGTTAATTTAATTTTTATTTTATAATTTATATTAAATTCAATTATTTTATGAATATCTTTACTATTATTATTATTATGTCTTAAATATTTTGCTCTTTTAGTTCATTTATTAATTATAGTTTTATTTCCCCAAGTGTGGGTATGTATATCGATTATTGGTGGCAATTATTCACCACCTTTCCGGCCCACCTACATTATATAAATTCAAGACTAAGGGAAAATTATATTCTCATTATTTGAGAGATATTTAAATTATATTTTTATTTTAAAATATATTTTATTTAACATATGACTATGATTTTTTTTTATACAAATGAACTAACTTCTAAATAATTATGAATAACTACGAATATGTCTTCTAATGATATTTTATCTTTTGTATATATATAAATTTAATATTACCAATATAACTATTTTTAATTATTTATAATTGATTCTATTTTTTTTTTACAAAAAGAACGAATTTTCAAATACCTATATTATTGACTCTAAAATTCAATTTAATTTTTTTATTGTAAAGCCACAAAATTATTAATAGACGGATAAAATTAGTTGTTGATCTTGCGAAAATCACAAGATAAATATATTTCTGAAAAACACTCAAATATAATTTATGTTCATTGTTTTTTTCGTTGGAGCAAAACTGAAATGATACGTACATAATTAATCAAAATTATTATTATATTTGTTTGCATGATGTTAATTGTACAATTAAAAATATTAATTATTAATAGGAGTCTCTGTTGGAGCTGGGTGGCAAAGCGTTGTAGCATATGTTAACATAGGCTGTTATTACCTGATTGGTATCCCTGTAGGAGTGGTGCTTGATAACCTTCTCCATTTGCAAGTGAAGGTAACTATTTTATCTTTTGCAATTGCATATACTAACTCTTTCCACAACTGTGAAGAACAACTAAGATAGCTATCTTGTCTTGACTTTTGTGAGGGATAATCAATGACTAAAATCATTTTATTTGCATGAACTTTAAATTGTGTTACTTTTGAAGCAAAATAAAATCATATAATGAATCTTAGTCTATGTGACAAGTGCCTTTTCATATGTATTACTTTTGCAGGGTGTTTGGATTGGAATGTTGTTTGGAACATTTGTTCAAACTGTGATGCTTATTACAATCACTTTTAAAACTGATTGGGACAAGCAGGTAATATATATATATATCTATGATTGTAAAATTGATTTAATTTCCATGTTTTGGGTAAGATGCTATTATTTATATATATATATATATATATATGAATCTTACAGGTAGAGATAGCTCGAAATCGTGTTAACAAATGGGCTGTGGTTGAAAACGAAGAATCAAACCACAGATCAAGCTAAACAGTATCTACCATTTTATATTTTTGTTCTTTCTCTCTTCATTATAAATATATACTAGTAGACTTTTGCTAGAATTTCTCCCATTTTATTTTCTTTTCACAGATAAATTTCTTCTAGAATTGTTCAACACATGAAGTCACGTTGTTTTATTCTCTTTATTTATTATTTTACTAAGTAATCGTGGGTTAAATTCTCTTTCTCCTCTTTCGAGGAACAAACAATCACTTGAATATCTTCAGGGGCTGTTCTTCTTATAGTTCAAATGATGCCCTTCAACAAATAGAAGCAGTCTTCTATTATAAAGTTTATTACCTAAACCCTAAACTTTACGTTTAAATGTTATATTTACATTAAAATATCAGGTAATATATCCTTTTAAAAATTTAAAGATTAAATTACACATGACTCAAATTTTAGAGGGCTAAAAAAAATAAAAAAAAAAGTTATTTATATATAAAATTTTGTTATTCCCTCACACAGACACTGCCCCAATGTTTTATACTAGTGAGTCATAGCACTGTCTGTATGATAGGTGGTGTTGGTGTGCACGTGAAATGGATACCACAATTTCTCAATATTATTTTATTTTTATTTTTCAATTCGCATCCATTGTTATAAATGATATCATGTTAGCTCTTTCTGCCAATCACCAGAACCCATAAATAATTTAACGAATATTTATAGTATAATTAAAGTGGGCGTCTAAGAGATAGTAACAACTCACGCAATTAGTACGTATTAAATTTAATTTAATGCTAATTAAAGGAAAGAACAAACAATCACTTTTCTAGTCCTTTTCCTTCCACTGCTATTTTGGGTCATTCCATATTATTAAATAATTTATTTTACAAATCCTTCTAACTACTAAATTAAGAAAGTATTTAATGTGTTTTGTGTTATCAAAGAATTATTTTCTTTTAAAAGAAAATATGTTAAACAGGGGAATGTGTATTATTAAAAGAATAATGATATGACGTCGTTTTGCGGAGGCCAGCACGTCAATTCAAATCTTAGCCGGCAAAAAAACGAAAGCAGATATCAAAGGATTTTTACGACAATCGCCATTCTCCAAGAACAACCAAAATCAAGTTTTAAAATTATTTTTATATTTTACATTTTCGTTTTAGATAAAATTAAGTAATTTTTTGTACATATTTAATTCATTTTTTAGAAAAACTATTTATTATATTTTTTAAAATATAATAAATAATTATTTCGTCTAAATTAAATTATTTTGCTGGTCCTTGCAGCAGTTTACCAGGCATAAAAAGTGGGTTCCAATTTCAATCAGTAGATGAGTCCACAACCACACCACAAGCTCCACTTTCCAGCTTTCCATTGCTGGGACAATAAGCTCCGTGAAATAAAAATAATATATTTTATATCTATAAAATAAGAAATATATGTATTTCTAATATATATTTTATAAAATATAATTGAAACACTTTAATTAAGGATAGAAAATGGACTACCTTAGAACCCCGGTTAAGAAGGCCATTCTGTTATTCTTTACGTGGATGCAGGGACGGAATAACTTTCATTTAAGATTTTCTAAGCGAAAAATAGAGGTTTTATGAAACTTTTAATTAGGTATTTTTAAGTTATTTTTTATTATATTTTTTACTTTTACCATTTGAATATTTTTCTCCTTGCTCCCTTCAGATTCTCAAATAAAATCTTACAAAATCATATTGTATATTTTTGAATAATTAGTGTAGTTTTATTTTTTCATTGTTTAAAAATAAATTTAAAAAGCAATTTATGATTAAACAAGTGTTTAAAAATTGGATTAAAAATTTGGTTACAAACACGATTTAAAATTAATACTTGTGTTTTGAGTTAAAAAAGTATTTTTAAATTTAAATAACAATAATAATTAATTTTTTTATCTCATTAGGTAAAGTTAATCATGTGTGACTGATGTAGTTGACTTCAATTAATAGAATAAAGTTTATTATTAAATACCAATTTATAATTTTTGGTGTTGTCTACTATTAAGAATGCAATTTGTGCACGGAAGTGTATAGGAACAAGAGTGTGTTCGCTAGCTGTGTACCTCTCTTACGGCAATTTTTTGGTTTTTTTTTTATCTTTTTCTTTTCCTTTGCATTTTTGTATACTGATTTTATTTTGTATAATCAAAGAAATATTTTCTTTCACTAACATTTAAGAGTAAATATGTTAATGATTCTGTTATTTGTTGTACCCAATGAATAAAAAATAAATTTGTGATGCTAAGTTGTGTATTTTATATTATGTTGTGAACACAATAAAAGAAGTGTTGAGCTAAATAAAGAAAAGTGATATATATAAATTATTGTTGCAAATTCAAGGAGAAAATAATTGCAACACTTGTGGTTCAGAGATGACAACTTTTTATTATTGTCTTTGAACACTGAAAAAAGAGACATTGAAACAATAAGAATAAACACACTAGTATTTTTTTATTTTTATTTTTATAAGTTTACCATATGTGTCTTTGGAACTGAGACACTGATGTCTCTTTTTTTAGAAAACACACTGATGTTCTCGAATTATATGTTTTTTGTATTTTTGTTTTTCTAATGAAATACTAGCTAAACATAATATGTGTACTTTTGTGTTTATGTCTCAATGTCTTTGTTTTGCAACCAAACGCTGCTAGAGTGAACCACTATTATTCTCAAATAAGGGGGAATTGACTTAAATTATTCAAAATTACATTCTTATCATAAGTTTATAACCCACGTGTCTTTTAAAAGCTTAATAACACCAAGTTTAGATTTTTTAAATGCAAAAGCATAAGTTTATATACACACGTTGTCGCTTTGTGCTTTTATTACCAGGGTTCAAGAAAAGAAGGGAAAATGGGAATTATATTTTAAAAATGATCTTCTTCTTTAAAATTAACATTGTTTTTATATATGCATTTTTTGATGCCTTTTCCCTGGTTCAAACGCGGTGGCGAAAACGAATGGCTATTTTAAAGATGGCGTGAGACAGAGCAGTAGGAATGTAACTGAGCCGCCATCCTTGTCCTGCATATGTCGTGCTCGTCGAAGACAATGACATCATGCGTGATCTCACTCACCCAGCTTCTTCAATATTGCCTCTACACGCCTAAATTCCACACTACAACACCCCAAAACACAACACGTTTCTCCGTCTAAAAACCCCACATGTTTTCTTATCAACCTTAAATTATTATACCGTGGTAACAAATTTTAATGTATTATTTAACTTTAAATCTTTTAAAGCAGATACCAACACTAAAAAAATGAAAATAAATACATCTGAATATATGAATTAAAAATATATTTAAGAAAAAATGTAAACCTCGTATTGAATATATGTTAACATGGTTGTAGTATTTTAAAATGAAAACTGAATTTTGAATTATTAAAGCTCCCCGTCCCGTCCCGAGAATCGTAGACTTGCCAAAGGTTCGGTGTTTTTGGGCAATGTGGGGCCCAGTGATTGGTCAGTATCAAAGTAATCCACTTTATTAATAAAGCCACAACTCGTTCTCCTTTCCAATAGAAAGAGGCGTAACATCTTTAGAGTCCTACCAAGGCGTCTCAGTTCGATAATGGCGGAAGACCTGAAGAAGAAGCTGTTGAGAACGTCGCAAGAGGAAGAACATGAAGAAGAGGAACTACCATTGCTGAAAAGGATGTGGAATGAGAGCAAAGTTATGTGGGTTGTCGCTGCCCCAGCCATATTCACTAGATTCTCTACCTTTGGTATCAATGTTATAAGCCAAGCCTTTGTTGGTCATATTGGCTCAACCGAACTCGCTGCTTTTGCTCTTGTATTCACTGTCCTTATACGCTTCGCCAATGGTATTCTGGTATCTTTCTTTCTCACAACTTTTTTTGCTCTCACTATTTTTTTAATATAATTCTTTTTAACAATTTGTGCATGCTTGTGTTGTATCATGTTATCTGCAGACTGCGTTTCTGATTCTCGACCTTTTGCCGTGTCAGTATGTTATTCTTGTTTTTTTAAATGTTCTGTTTTCTGCCTGAGAAAAAACAAAGAGAGATTATTCCCCTGTTTCATCAATTTTATGATTAGTTATTTTTTTTGGGTTAATCAGAAATAAAAAATTGCTTTTGGCGTGATATTAGTGATTCTTGTGATTATAAAAGTCGGGTTATAAGAGAAGCATAGATTTTATTGTAAAGGTCGCAGCTTTTGTGAATATTTGCTATAACAATATTTAAAATCGTATATGTGGGAGTGGGTACCCTTTCATTTTATAAAATATTTTATATTTTTATTTGATCTATGTATGGCCTACAGGTATAATTTATTCGATGGATATAATGCTATTATGATAACGCAAATTAACAATTTGTATAATGGGATTTGTAGTTAGGAATGGCTAGTGCGTTGTCAACACTATGTGGACAAGCATATGGTGCAAAAGAATATGGCATGATGGGAGTGTATCTTCAAAGATCGTGGATAGTTTTGTTCCTAACTGCAGTTATTCTTCTTCCTGTGTTCATCTTCACAAGCCCAATTTTGACACTCTTAGGCCAAGATGAAAGCATAGCAAAAGTTGCAGGGACCATTTCTCTTTGGTCAATTCCGGTTATGTTTGCTTTCATCGTCTCATTCACTTGCCAAACATTTCTTCAATCTCAAAGCAAGAATGTCATTATCGCCTTCTTGGCCGCATTCTCAATAATTATTCATGTGTTCCTCTCTTGGCTCTTGACCATAAAATTCAATCTTGGCATTGCTGGTGCAATGACTTCAACAAGTTTAGCATACTGGATTCCCAACATTGGTCAACTTATATTTGTTACTTGTGGTTGGTGCTCTGATACTTGGAAAGGTTTCTCATTTTTAGCATTCAAAGAGCTTTGGCCTGTTGTCAAGATGTCCCTTTCAGCTGGTGCCATGTTATGGTGTGATTTCTTTCTTGCAAATACAATGACTGTTAGTTTTCTTGAGCAAAAATGAATATATGTCTTCCTAACTTGAAGCTGTCATATATTTACAGTCTTGAGCTCTGGTACAACACAATATTGGTTCTTTTGACAGGTAACATGGAAAATGCGGAGGTTGAAATTGATGCTCTATCTATATGGTAACCCTTCTGCACTCGTTGAAATTTGTATTTGCTTTCTACTTCATGTAGTTAGTTATATAATTGGCTTGATGCATAATAGACTTTTGCTCTTTTCATGCTAAAGATCAAATTTTATCATTGATTATTTACAGTCTCAACATCAATGGATGGGAAATGATGATATCACTTGGTTTCATGGCAGCTGCAAGGTAATGACATTGTTCCCCTTTATTTTATTTTACTTTTCATGGTGTGTTTATTGTTTACCATGGAAGATTGACTTTTACTTAATTTACAGTGTTAGAGTGGCAAATGAGCTTGGAAAAGGAAGCGCCAAAGCTGCAAAGTTCTCTATTGTTGTGACAGTGCTCACATCATTCACCATAGGGTTCTTTCTATTTTTATTTTTCCTATTTTTTAGGGAAAGACTTGCTTACATATTTACCTCAAATAAAGATGTGGCCGCTGCTGTTGGAGACTTGTCTCCTTTGCTATCAGTCTCTATATTACTCAACAGTGTTCAACCTGTACTCTCAGGTATTATTTACATCATTTTCTCTATGTTACGTATTTTGATAAATACTGATTATTTTTCACATTACAAAAACTGCATTAATCTGTCATATACACTTAAATTTTAAATTATGTGATTTCAACAGGAGTAGCTATTGGAGCAGGGTGGCAAAGCATTGTAGCATATGTGAATATTGGGTGCTATTACGTCATAGGTATTCCTGTTGGGGTTGTGCTTGGTAATGTTTTCCATTTGGAAGTCAAGGTAATAATTTGACTTATAGGTCATTTTGCTGTTAAATTGCACATCATCTTTATGCTGCTTTATCTATTGAACAAACTTTTTCCACTGCTGTAGGGAATCTGGATTGGAATGTTGTTTGGAACATTGATTCAAACTATAGTGTTAACAGTAATCACCTACAAAACTAACTGGGATGAACAGGTATGTATTTGACTTATTTACCTTTAAGATTGCTTCCAATTACTACATGCCCTTGAGAGTGCATAATAATTTGATATTATTAAACGTGCTCAACTAATGCTGTGCAGGTTACCATAGCTCAAAGTCGTGTTAGCAGGTGGTCCAAGCTGGACAGTACTGATCAAGAAAGAGAAACAAAACATGTCAAATAATTTCAATGTCATAAGTTGGGTCCTTTGTATTGTGATATACAGCTAAAACAATGGTAGATAGCAATTCGGACTTGTGGTTATTTCTCAATCACGGGTCTTAAAATCAAAATTGGTGGATTTTCTATCACTTTCAATGATTTTTTGTAATGGGTTGAATAGTTTCGCTCGTACCGATAATTTTTTTTAGTGGATCGTTTGTTTATTTTAGCTAAAAAAATTACGTACGGATCTCAAAATATATGAAAAGAAAGTTTTTGTTTGCATATTTTGTTCGACCAGTCAAAAAGATAATTTTTCTAACAAATGCTGAAATTTTGTATGAAAAAGTGACAGTATCTTTTTATATTTTATTGAAAATATTTTTAAAAAAATAATATCAGAATATTAAAAATATAATAAAAATGTGAAATAGTTAAAAAAGAATATTATATTAAAATTAAATTTTTTATTATTATGAATTCTTTTTATAAGTTACTTTTTTTTACTCTTTTTTCATTTATCCAAATTCTAAAGGAGTAAATTTTTTTTACTGTTTTATCTTCTTATTTATCATCTTATTTTTCATATATATCTTTCTTACATTATTTTTAAGTAATTAATTAATTTTTTTCTACTTCATCCAAATATAGCACACGTTTCTGGGGCTTAATTTTAAAATTTTGTAATTAGTGCAAGGACAGTACTCACAATTGCTAGGAAGGAGTAACAATAAAAGAAAGTTTGAAAATTTTATTTGCATTTACAGACATTTACTTTAAACACGTATGTGATACTAATGATAATCTAATTATAAACCTAGTGTGAGATTGATTTAGTTTAGTTTGAGGAAATAATTATTTATTTTTTTATAACATTGAGAAATAAATGAAAATTTCAATTTTTTAAAATATTTACCTAAGAAAATGCAAAATATATAAATATTTTGTTTAAGTTGAATAAAAGAAAATTTATTTTGACTTGCTAAATATAATTGAAGTATAAATATAAATTAATTTGAATCATATTTTTGAAATTGAAATATGTATTTGTTTAATTAAAAAATGGAACAAATACATATTTCAATTTTTGCAATTTAAATAGCAATTCTATTGTTAGCATGGGAAGGGTATAGAATAAAGAGAGAAGAAAACAAAAAAGCTTGTTTATTAAAAGACCAAAGCCATGCACGTGTCTCCTGCTTCAGCATGCATGATGCAATTAACAAGATGCACTGTCACAATACTTGTTCCACATTCCATGCTTCCATTGTTGCCATGAAACCACTCTTGTTCTCTTCTCGTTAAGCCCATTTTGAAAGAGGTTATTCAGAGCTTAAGAAAATATCTTATAATTCTTCTCACTTTTTTTTAAAAACTTTCTTAATCCATAAATATTTGGAAAAAAAAAAAACATCTACCAAAAAATAAAAGTATGTCATCAAACACAAGTTTTAGAAACATAATATTGTTTTCTTACATTTCTAAGAACAAAGAAATTTACTTGAAATATTCATCAACCATAAGAGATAACCCAATAGAGAGCACGAGTGAAAATGCTAAGGTGAGCGCGTCAATTGATTGATCTAATGAATTGCATATATGAGATATCGGGTAGTGTACTCACAATCAAATATAATTTAACAAATTCATTTTCTAATAAAACGTGGGATGATTTCCTAAAAGTCTTTGTCAATTTTAATTTTTAAAATTTATTTAATGGTGAGATAAAAGGAGATGATAATATAATTTATTTTATCCTATTTTATTTTTAACCTTTGTTAAAGAAATAGTTATTTTGTTAAGTTATCATATTTTATTTTTATAGTTCAAATTATTTTCTTGAAGTGGGTGACATGTGTTAGAAAACATTTTTCTATTATATTCTTACTCATAGTTTATACCCTTTTAAGTATTTTATAAAAATAATTATTTAAAAATTTAATTTAAATTTTTTACAAATATTATATAAACATTTTTTAACAAAAAATATTTTTAAAAAGTATATTTTAAAAATATTTTACTCATTTTATAAAATATGATTTTAAATTTTTTAATAATTTACTTTTGTTGTTAATTATAATTTCTTACCAAAAAGAATTTTAATTATAAAAAATTTAAATAATTGTTATAACTAATATAAAATTTTTATTATTATATGTACACATTATTTTTAATATATATATATATATATATATTATTTTATTAAAAATTAAAAAAATTTAAATAAAAAATATACTTAGAAATCATATTAATTTTGAGAAAAGAATAATTTTTCCATTTAAATATAATTTATATCTTATTTTATTATTTTTATTTATCTTAAATAATAAACATGATTATATAATGTTATTTTTTTGGTATTTTAGTATATATTAAATATATAATAAAATAAAATTTATTATTTTCTTATTATATTTTATTTTCATCTAATTCTTATATTCTATATTTTTTATTTTATTATGTTCGCCAAACAACTCTTTACCTCTTTAAGAGTATTAACTAAACTAGTGTCTTCCAGATTTGGCAAAGTACTATAACTTAAGCAAGCCTTTTTAACGTGAGAAAATGTAAATGACAAATAAGTATAACTTTAGTACTAGTATCTTTTTCACAATTAGTAGTCACATTAGGCACAAATATTTTGAAGTCCATGACCATAGATGTCTTGTTTATCTTGCTCATTAAAATAGCAGTACTTGGGCAAGACCTATATATATTTATCAATCATACACTTTTACACTTAATTGTAATTAGAATTTTTTGTTTTATTATTATTGTTGTCATTATTATTAGTACAAAGTATTAAAGATGTAATGATTATATGCTTTTTGGGTACATTTTAAGTATGAGAATGAGTGAATGACAACTCCACCTCTGATTCTTTAAATAGCTAGTTCAGCAACTTTGGGAGAAGGGTGTGAAGCTCCTCTCCTTTTCAAATTCCTTATTAAACAAAGTTTCAAGTGCTCACTATTGGACCCTAACTCGTTGAAGAAAGTCATGGCCAAACTATGTAAAAGTTGTGACAAGAAAGAGTATTTGGATAAGATGGACTTTCTTCCATTTAAAGTTTAGTTATAACAATGAATTTTTAAAATGAACTCTTTATTTTAGACTAATTTATAGTAAATTTTTCTCCAAGTTTTGAGATGAGATGAGACTCTCCAATACAAGTTAGAGTTCAAGCAGGTAGATACTTATCTTACTGCACTTTAATAGAACCTGATTACAAGTTATTATAAAGTTTAAGGATATATTTATAAGTTTAAAAAGTTTAAGAACCATTTTTATAAATTTTCCTATGGCTCAAGGGTTGCCAACATAATTTAACCTAATAATTAATTAATGGAGCGTTTAGAATAACTTGATCACAAACGATTAATATAAAAAGTTCGTACCAATTTACACGTTTTAAAAGTTTAAGAATCAATTATAATTATTTCTATAATTTCGTCAACTAAATTTAATTACAGAACATCGTTGTAGAGTTTTTATCTTTGTCACAACTAATTCTCAATTAGAAGAATTAAATTTAAGGTTAAAAAGAATTGTGAAGATATTTACTTCGAGCATAGCTTTGAATTTTAGCAACATTTAAAAGGCACCTCACAATGATGACATGTACACATTTACAAATAAGAAACTGATTTATTTATTTTTTCTTTACCTCATAATTTTATTAGAATAAGAAAGACTTCTTTTGAGATTACAATGAAAATTTAACACTGATGATATTTGTAGGTTAATAGAAATTAGTTATTTTCTAATTTTAGTGGACAAGAAAGACTTTTTTAAAAGAAAAATGTTAACAGCGTACTTTTTCTTACAAATTTTCTATAATTGATCCATTTTTTAAAACCAAGATACTTGTATTGTAAATTAATTTTAAAGATAAGTGAGATAAAATTATTATTTAAAGTATAAAGTTTAAAAGTTGAATTTTTTAATATTAATTTTATATAATTAGACTATAAAATTGCGATTGTAATTACAATTCTTAAGGTGAAATTCAAGTTCGAACCCTAATCGATGCCCGATACTAATTGAAAAATATTTATCATGGTGCGTGGATCAATCGAATACGAATTGTGAGGGTGGAGTTGTCGTTATTGATGAATTGTCAAGTACATGACGGAGTTTGGAAGGGACCACAGTACTCTTTTGAGGTACAAACAGCAAGCTACCTTTCATTTGTATTCTTATGTGTTTATTTTCTTTCAATGCTGAGAATGTATTTTCAATAATCTTTTTAATCAAAATATTTAAAATTCTTTTATTTTTAATTTTTTATTAGAATAAAAGTCATATTATCTGCTCTTATTTTTAAATATCTTTTTTTACATGACTGAATAATCTAGATAATGTTAGTTATAGTTATTCTATTCTAATATTTTTACGTATATAATCATTTTTTAATTTATTCTTTTTTGTGTTAATATACCTTAACATTATTATTTTTTGTAATTTTTATTTTATTTTATTATTCTTTTAAAAACTTAATATTCACTACTCTATAAAATAGTTAGTTATATTATAATATGATAAAAAAATTTTAGCTTAACAGGTATTTTATAGTCACAAATAACTATTGTTGTTATTTTTTTTTTATTTTAACCACGTAACTTATATTTTAAGAGGAATTCTCTATATTGACATCTTTGTTAAAAAAATTAAACAATTAGTAAACAAAAGAGTATTTAGTGTTTTAAATTTATTGATTTTGAGACGTGTGGATTACATTAAAGGTAAACAAATTAACAAGTTTAAATTGGTGCCAAGAAAAGGTCAAATTTATTGGAGATCATTCAAACAGATATTTATTCTCTAAATATGGATACAAGTAGTCAAATATACTTCATCATCTTGATAAATGTCTATTTACTTCATTTTAAGGATGAAGTTTTGCATGTTTTTAAAATTTTTAGGGTTGAAATAGAGCTACAATGTAGAAAGTAAATTAAGATTGTGAGATCAGATAAATGTGGAGAGTACTATGGTAGATACATAAAGAATGGACAAACATTTGGTCCATTTGCAAAATTTCTTTAAGAAAATAAGATTGTTGTCCAACACACTATACTTGGTTCTCCAGAACAAAATGGTGTGACAAATAAAAGGAATCAAACTTTAATTGACATGGGGAGTAATGCAAAACTTCCTCAATTCTTGTGAATTGAAGCACTTAAGATGATTGTGTATATATATTAAATAAAGTTTCGACAAATGTTGTCTTAAAGACACCTTTTAAGTTATTCAAATGTTAAAAATCTAGTTTGTGACATA